TTTAGGGTTTAGGGTTGAGTCTTCCGGGGAGCTTTACTGAGAGGTTTCAGAGAACTTCATTTAGAGGGTGGAGGATGTGTACTGAGAGGTTTAGGGTTCAGAGAACTTCCATTTAGAGGGTGGAGGTTTTGCAGTAGATTAAAGCAAGTATAGCCTGAGGAAAGGCCTGCTGTCAACCTCGAGGGCTATGCAAGGCTTGTGTATGGCGTTGGCAGAGGTTTATGGCTTCTGTAATAGAATGGCATTTCTACTTGACTATAGCGTACTTGACTATAGCGTAACATCCTAGTCTTAAAGACCGCTGTAGTATGGCCATAGCACTTCCAAGTAGGGTTCTATTTACCTTCAATGGGGTTCTAGGTAGATATAACTAGATTGCACCTACTCCACCTCTAAATAATCCTACTTCCTAGTTCCCCTTGTTCTTTCAATAAGCTTACTCAAGAAATCTCTAACGAGTTAGAGGCAGTAACTTTGAACTTGGGATTGCAGAATCTTATATCACCCCACAAGGGAATATAGCTTACGTTACCCTAAACCCTACACCCTAAACCTAAACCTAAGCCTGAACCAATTGAAGAGACAAGATACTTAAAGGATCATGGGACTTAGTAAGTAGGCTTATAACTAAGGTAACTATAGTTATACCGCCAATTAGGGGACTTATAACCTGACTTACTAAGTCCCATGATCCTCCAAGTACCGTAGACCCTGATCTCCCGAAGCCACAAAACCGTTTGCCCTGACGCCCTTCTCCCCCTAAACCCCAAAGCGAACTCTTATGGGTGGTTGTCAAAATTAGGGTCCCTTTTTGGGTACCCTAAATATTAGGTGACGTATTATATTACGGACCCAAAAAGGGACCATAATTTTGACAACCACCCTTATGGAGCCAACCACCCTTATGGAGCCAGTATATGCAGCAAACACTTAAGCACAGAAGCTTACTTATCGGAATAAGTAGAGCTACTATCCTGATCCAGTTCCTGCATAATATGCAGTCACATGGTCACATGTATAAACAGGCTCTGTGGTAAACCCTCATCAAGCCCGCAAAAGACCCTCAACAAGGCATGTCAGAAACAAAAACCATACTAACTCTGCTTATACAACAACATGCATGGTGCAGAACCCTGCAACAACAGTACCCTAAACCCTAAACCCTGAACCCTAAACCCTAAACCCTAAGCCCTAAGCCCTTCCTTCAGCCAGGCAGCCGCGGAAGTTGGCTCGTGAGTTGGCAGCTGCTTGTTCGCCAGCAGTTTCTGCAGAGAGAGGTCTTCGTTTGGGGATTGGGGCTTTTAGTCATTACATGACAAGTATAACCCTAAGGGTCCATGTGCTCATATAGTATACTTCCTCATAGCCATACAGATTAATCGAGTCCCCTCACCATTAAGTAGAGTATACACAGGGCTAAGAAGTCAGACGTAGGCTTGATGGAGCCCTTGTAGACCTGGATTGAGCGGTTTAGGATTTAGGGTTTAGGGTTTAGGGGTACTTGCGTCAATCACGAGGCCTTAGGAGCACAAATATTGAGCAATCTTGCTGCTTGAGGCTTGAGCCTCCCTACGTAGCTTTGTTACTCATAGTGTTGAAAGCGCCGAAAGCCCTTGTCAACGTTCAGGTCTTTGTCTCAATATAAACTTCGATGCTTACTGGGCCGTGTGTAGATATATTCATATGGTATAATGATGTTAATGCTTTATGCTTGTCATGTAGTGCCCTAAGGGTCTGCATTTAGAGAACCCGACATCTAACTAAACATGAACAGCTAACCCCTCCAAAATCTGTAGATGCTTTGTGGAAACATACCGGATCAAAGTACCTAGACCTTAAACCGTAAACCCCCAGACCCAAAATCCCAAAGCCCTATTAAACCCTCAATCCCTAAAGCCTCGACCCCTAAACCCCAAAATCCCAACCCCTCAGCCCCTCAATCCCATGACACGACAGTCCCCAATTAATGTAGGGGCCTGAATAACTACCCATACCTATTGGGGGGGGGGGGGGGGGGG